AATAATCACGCGCATTCTTAACTATTTAATGTGGATTGTGGCTGTTTCCGGCAATTGAGACATAATCTACTTTAATACTATTGACCTGACTGATTTTTTGGTTTACCTTTGGGGTTTCTTGAGGGTCCATTCTTTTATATCTAACTTTTCTGTGTCATATTATTTCAAGTGTAAATTTTTAAAGTAGTTTATAGTTGGATTTTGTTTCTTGCTTCATCCTGACCTTCTTTGAGAGTAGAGTTTAATCCATTCATATTTATTCTGAGACTAATGTATTTGGTTTTCTCTTCTGTTGCGCTTTCAGTATTAGTGCTTCCTGAATATTCCTCTGTCATTTTTTTCACTTCTCCTGTAGTTTGAAACTTGGTTAATTTTGATACTTCTTTTCTCTTCCTTTAGTGATTTGGAAGTTATGCAATTTTCTTCGGTATATTCCAGTTTTTTAAGGCAGTTTGTTTTGAATGAAACATTATATACTGATGATTCCTTCCTTCCAATAACAACAAAAATGCTTTTCCTTCCTTCCCTGGCATTCTTCCCCAGTTTTTGTTGAAATAATTCAGAATTTTAAATCCAGATTATGATATTAAAATTTTTAAAATATGCACCTTCTTCTTCAATAAAATATTTTCACATAACTACATGAATATTTATTACTTAAATTTAACTATGTTTTGCCATTTCATTGTTTACTACCATTTATTTTAAAGTCCTACTTTCTTCATTCTTGGGTTCTTTTATTATTACTTCTTTCTCAGCAAGCTTGAGTGCATCCTCACAGTAGTGAAGGCATAATGTCTGTCCTTTCACGTCTGAAATTTCCGTATACATTTTAAAATTACCAGCTTAAGAGTCAGATAAAGCTATATTCAAATGCTACCTTTACCTTGTACCTGTCTGGTAACTGTGGAAAACTCTTCACCTTTCTGATTCATTTCCTCATTATAAAATGAAGACACTATCGGCTGTCTTATAGGCTTTGTAAGGATTATACCAAGTAAAGTATATTAGCACTGGGACTAGTATCAGTCAATAGCAGATTATTATTATTACTATTAATCTTTGTACATTACCATATGTATTCAACATTATTCACATCTTAGTACAATATCATGCAAATTATATGTACTCTATTAAATTACTATTACATTGATTTTTTTGGAAATAAAACGGAGAGATCATAAGAGTGCAGTTTGGTATTTTCAAAATTGCATACACTTGTGTAACTACCACCCAAATCAAGGCATAGAATTTTTCCATTAGTTATTCTTCCTTCCAGTCAACCGTTCCTCATCCCCAGAGGCAAATGCTTTCTGATTTATATTGTCATAGATTAGTTTTGTTCATTCCCAGTCTTCATATAAATGGAATCATACCATATATACTCTTGTCACTGCCTTCTTTGTTCAGTGAAATGGCTTAGAGATTTACTGCTTATGTGGCATGTATCAATAGTTTCTTTTTCATTACTGAGTAGTATTTCTCTCATAGCATAAATATATAAAAAATTGTTTCCCCATTCTCCTATTTAGGGATGTTTAGGATATTTCCAATTTAGAAATATTATAACTAAGGCTGCTACAAACATTCTTATGTAAATCTTTTAGTGGACATAGTTTTCATTCCTCTTGTAAAAAATACCTAGGAGGAAAAATGTGTGGGAAGATGTATATTTGACTTTATAGGAAATAACTGAACAGTTTTACAAAGTGGCCATATCATTTTACTGTCTCCCCAGAAAATTACAAGAGTTCCAGTTGCTCACCTTCACTATCATTTGATATTTTACAGATTTCTGCTTCAATGTATCACCATGTCAATGTGCTTATACTCATTGGTACATGATATAACTTTTTTCCATTCCCTTCTCTTTAACCAGTTAATGTATTTATATTTCTAAAAAGTTTCTCCTATAGATATGTGGGTCCTAATTTTATATCCAGTCTGATCATCTCTGCCATTTAAATAAAGTGTTTAGTCCATTTACATTTGATGTAGTTATTGATATGGGTGGGTGTAAGCCTACCATTTTTATACTATATTTTTTATCCTAACTATTTTTATTCCTATGTTGTTCCTTTCCTGTGTTCTTTTCCATTAATTGAGTACTTTTAGAAGTTTATCACATCATCTCTATTGATTTCAGACTTCATTCTTTTTTTTTCTAATGGTTACTCTAGACTTCCCAACATGCATCCTTAACTTATTCATGTTCTACTTTGAAATATTATATTACTTCACAAATGAAGCTAGAGTTTTAGAATTTTGTAATGGCATTTGTCCACATATACACTCTTATCATTCTTATTGTCATCTATTTTACTTATACATATGTTTTTAATCCCATAATGTATTGTTATTAATTTTGCTTTAAATAGTCAATAATCTTTTAAAGAATTTTATGTTTAGCCATTCTGGCCAATATTTGTATCATCTATGGGTCTGGTTCTGTTGACTATTTTTCTCTTAATTATGGGGCACATCTCACTGCTCCATAGCATATCTCATCATTTTTTTTTTCATTATATGCTGAACATTGTGTGAAAAAGAATAGGAGAGAGTGTAATAAATTACATTTTCTCCCAGAAAAGTTTATGCCTCTTCCTATGTTAGGCCTCTAGGGTGGAGGCTAAGTCCATCTAATCTGTAGTTGACTTAGGTCTGGGCTTTTGTGAAGCTTTAGTTAGATTCACTTTGCCACTAACTTCACATGTCATGAGGGAAGATAAGGATTATCCCTTTAGCAAGTCCTGGAATTTGTCCAGTGGATAATTCTTATTATTCAGAGAGAGAGTTCATGCTGCCAAGTTTTTGGATCACCGAGGAGTTCTTTTTCTCTTCAGTTCTGTCCCTGACTTTCTGCAACTTGGAAAATCTCTCTATCCTGATGTTCTGTCCCTGTTCATTTGCATTCAGTGAAGTTTGTACTTTGGGGGAATTTCTCTTGATTCTCCTGTCCTACCCTTAGCCTTTGGTATAATGCTGCCATGATTCTTAAATAAGTTAAACTTCATTGTAATTTTTAAAAATAAAAAATTCCATAACAGCATAACAACTGATCTACTTTGCCACATATTGTCTCTGCCTTTACTATAGAATTCTACCTATAATTAATCAATAAAAATTGTTTATATCTTCCTTTAACCTGAGGAAAGGGTAAATTTCTCAGGTGAAGCATATTACTAATGCCAGTGTAAGTCCAGGTTTACTTTAATCCAATAAAAGGATCAAGAAAATATATGATTGATAACATTAACAAACATAATTACTGTTTATTATACAAAAAAATTTGTGGTTTGATATTTATGTGCAAACACAAAATAGTGTGCAGTTTCTTTTATCTGCATGGTGTCTTATTTGCTTTTGAGTACTGACATAGCACAAAGTACATACAAATTATGGCCCACATACATTGGTGAATAACAGTTTCAAAAGAACAATAAACAATGACAAATAACCTTCAACACATAGAACACAGGTATCTAAAGTACTGTAACCAGTCAAGATCCCACTGGTATTTCTTATGATAGTGAATTTTTTTCCAAGAACCCATGGACAGGATTTACTCTTGGGTTGTCTGGCCTGTTCATCTTTCTCCTCAAGTCCTGGGTCTTTCCTGGTTATCCTAGATGGCCCTTCCTCCCCCTGAACCCAGGATACCAGAGAGAGGGAGATGGAGTCACACACTGGGCACTCAGACCTTGCTATGGTATGCTGAATCACAGTTCCTGAAGGCAGCCCCACCTTCTTGGGCATCAGCTGTAACTGACTGGAGACATATACCCAGGAGTGGCGTCTGTGTGTTTCCTGGCAGAGACCCTTTCTCCGACATTCCCAACTCGTCACACTGTTACCCACTTCCACCTTGGAAATAATCTTCCCTGGGCTAACAGAAAGCTCACTATCCTGTCTCCTGACAACACTTGTTTGAAACTTTATTTGCCTATAGTTCTCCTCCACCCCTTATTGCTTCTCCCCTCTTGCTTCTTCTGCCCTCTTTGCCTCGAAGATCCCTTTCTTCCCCACCTTCATCTTTTGATACACTGGCTAAACTCAGTCGGTAAGACTGAGCCCAACCTGGGGATTCAAGGAAGGCTTTCAGGAGGAAATAAATAATACTTGAAGTAAAGCTCCTCATCTGAGTTACCACAGCACCCAGCAAGTGTGCACCTGACTGTAGACTTCAAAGCTTACACTGTTTTGCCGTGTGCCTTTTCTCACTAGACTCTGGGATGCGCCAGGATGGAGACCCTGACTGACACACACTTTTGTTTCCACTGTGTCTGAACATGGTGATCATAGTAGATGCCCAATAAATGTACTCAACTAACTTAAACTGAGAGGGCTCATTCCTCTGCTGCCCTATATTTTGATGATAAAGTGCAACTACTTTCACCTACCCAGGGGTCTGGGGCTGAGGCCATGGCGGCTCCTTGTATCTGAACGCCTTTAATTCTTTCGCTTCATTTTGGGAGAGGTGAGGACATGGCTTAGAATCCTCGCTTTAACTCTGTGGTGTCCAGGCTTGCTAATTTAGTGAAGTACCACTAAGTTCCAATTAGACTAATGAGATATTTATTTTATTACTCCCAGACTAATCAGATCCTACCTAACACTTGATCCTAGAATAGGCAAGGATACACTAGAAGACTTAGTAGTTCTGAAAACCCATAGGAAAATGATTTTAACTGAGGCATATCTATGCGCAAATTAATTTATTGTTGCTTTTGTTTCAAATTGAGAAAGACAACCATTAACCAATTTTTGCTGGTCCCTGTCATGGGACACCGGCATTGCGTAAGAACAACATTTGAGAACCGCTGCTCCATTCAAACAAAATTACAGGTAAACACACCACCTATCAGCAAATAAGTTCTTTTATTTCATGAAAATGAACAAAACTTTTATTTTGACTAACAGTGATTGCTTCCCAAAACAGGCTCATAACCCCACTTTGATTATTGAAGAAAGTAACCATTTACCATCTTCTTCCTTTTTAGGCTGTGAGGTTGAGATTCTTGGTGTCAGACCTACTTACTGCCTGGAATATAAAAACGTCCCAACGGATATCAATTTTGCCAATGCAGTCAGCGACGCTCTTGACTCCTTCAAGTAAGTGTTCCAAAGTCTTAGCCAAACCGTTGTTCTTCCTTGCTTCTTTGACCAATAGTGAATGCAAAAGTGGGTTAGGAAGGCTTGGTATAAGTGAGACCATGTCTGAGAGAGGTGGTGAGCCTTTTGCATGGTGACTGTTAACTGCTACCAGAGAATAACTGTAAGCAAGTCACTCCACTCAGGGGTACTCTTTGGAAATGTTGAATTGAGAGCAAGAAAATCCCTGAGGGTTTTGGGTCATTCTTTATGTTGGTGGACCTGGAGAAGCAATATGAACGTCAGCATTTCTCTAATCAAGATTTAGTGAATGCTTGGATTTCAGAAGATGTTAATAAGTATTCAGCCAAAAGGGAAGATCTGTGGTGAAAAATTGCCTACGCTACCCTTTTCTTGGAATGTACAAAGCATATTAACATATTAGAACACAGAACCTTCTTTTCTCCCCTTCCATACAGAACCATGACACAGAATTTAAAAATGCAGAAATCAGTAATGTTGCCCTAATAATACTTGATTGCCTGTCAAACTGACCAACAGGACAGGTCAGGAGAGAGGCAAGGAGACTGGGTTCAAGAGGGTAGATGCCGGGAGCCAGCATCCTCTGGGCACAGTGTGCGGATGGCTGGCACTGACCACGTGAGTCGGCCTGTAACTAGGATGGCCTCAGATCTGGAGCCATCTCACCCATGAGTGCTGGGAAGCCACATGACGATGAACTGGAGTCCCGTGGTGCGGTCTCATGTGTGCGAGCAAAGCAGAAGAGCATGGCTCGTACAGAACAGGGGCAGAGCTGGAACTTCCGAGCAGCTCAGCGTCTACACCGTGCTTTTCCAGCACACCTGAAATGCTAGCCATCCGCACGGCCTTTGCTGTGGCAAATATGAACACTTAGAGCGCAGCTCTCACACAGATGCCTCCAACTAACCCGACACGTGGTTCAGCAGTGTGATCTTTTTCTTAATTCGCTGGGCCTTGACAGCCAAGCCGTCTCTCACTGTAAACCGCCCAGTGGCTCGCCGGCAGAGAAGCGCTCAGCCACGAGGTCAGAGCACAGGGCCAAGAGAGCCCCAGGTTGGCGCGGGCCTGCGAGCCGGCCCATCCACGCAGACGTCCTCGTCCTGAGGTGCACCAGGATGCCAAGCTCTGTTTCCTAGTCAACTTTCTGTTTCTCTGTTTCTAGAGAAGTTTCTCTTTTTTCCTTTTTGAGCAACATGGCCGAGCTATGGAGCACGGGGGGGTCACATCATTACCTTGGAGCACAGCCCTTACAGGGAGGGTGGTGGTGGTGGTGGTGATAGTAGTGGTGGTGGCGACAGTAGTGGTGGTGGCAGTGTGTGTGTGTGTTTAGCAAAGACAGTGGGCTCCCCTAGAGAGAAAGGCTTCAAAGAACCGAAGCCTCGGGAAGTGGCCCCAGGCGAGGCCTCTACGTGGTGTGATCTGGAGCCCCCACACTGCCCGACTTGGTGCCGTGCACATCGTAGTCCCTGTATTTACTGCTTACTGATAGCAAAGTGGACAAAGATAATAAGCAGACTGACAGAGAAATGTGTGAGTGTGTGTGTGTGTGTGTGTGTGTCTGTGTGTGTGTGTGTGTGTGCACCCTCTCGTGTGTGGGGACTCCGAGTGCTCTTCAGATGACAGCTGGGAGTCTGAGCAGAGCTGCCCGGAAACCAGGGGTGAGCTGTGGGGCTCTAAACGGGCTCCTGCGCTCAGGGCTCTCCGAGGGAAAGGTCAGTAACAACGCGTCTCCCCTAAACACACACACCAAGAGAATCCGTGACTCCCTCGAGTCACAGTCTTGCATGAGCAAGCTGCCGCTACAGGCGAATGGTCTGGCTGGTTCCAGACTGTTCCTGGGCTAGGTGAATGTCAGTCCTTGATCCTGCTCTGTCGGACGGCCATCGGGCATGCTGCCGTGCTGCGGGGGGGCGGCCAGGAGAGGCGCCTCCTTTTTCTCTGGGGACGAGCCCCTCTATAGGCAGCAGGCATCATCTGGCCTGTTACTGTTCTTCTCTTTCTTCTCTCATTCTCATTTCAAGCCCTGACTAGGTTTAGAGATAGTGGGTCTCCATCTTTCCACCCATAATTCAGAGGCGTTGTTTCTGGTGGCCCTGTTCACCTTGGTGGTGTGAAGGCTCCACAGACAGTTGCACTGGCCTCATTCCACCCTGCCCAGGCCTGCACCGCCAGCTCCAGGGGCATCGTTCACACGGTAGAGTGTGTGAACGCCACTGCCCAGAGCTCAAGGGCAGCAGGGCAGCCGGGAGCTGCACATCCCTGTGGGAAGGGTGCATCTGGCTCCACTTGTGAGCTGGGTCTCGCCTTCCAGAGCCCAGGAAGCTTTAGTGACCCAAAGCACACTCCCTGTGGATGCCACCTTAGCACCCAGACAACTTGCAGCATGGAGGAAAGAAGGGGGAAAGCATGGGGATTTCATCGCCCTTCTTCTAAGCACTGAGTCAGACGCCCCATTGCCATTTTGCTGCCACAGCCATTGTAGGGCAGAGCTGTTGTTCACCCCTTGGACAGAAGAGGCCACTAACCCTGGGAGTTAAATACTTGCCTGGATCTCGCACAGCTGGGAGGTGGCGGAGCCCAGTTCTTTGCACGGTGGCTCAGGACCCAGGCTGTGGGGCACCCCCAGGTGCAAGGCGGCTGCAGCACCTCCAGAGGCAGCATTCAGTCCCCTTCCCTCCACACCTCCGTGAGGCCCTGAAACGCAGCCAGGCAGGGCAACAAGCAGGTGCTGCCTGCTTTGCGAGTCTCCTCGAGGGCTCACACAGGGCCATAGTGGACCAGCGGCCTTCACGGACTGCTCAGTGTCTCATGTGTTCAGCAGCCCACATGGGACACCCAGGCAGCACCGCCGCCTGCATCACCACCTCGCCTGTCTAAAGAAAGCAGTTTGAGATCTGCATCATTTAATCTATCCTCCTGGAAGTTTTGTTTGCAAGATATTCATTCTTTGGCAGCAGAAACAGGTGTGTGGTGCTGGAGGTCAAATAAGCCTTGAGCTGCTCATCTGGGGCAGGAGGTGCAGGGCAGCAGCAGCTCTGAGCAGTGGCGGCCACACTGCCCCCAGGGCTCCGGCTGCTCCCAGGATGGGCCCAGCAGACCGATGCCACCTTGCAAACGGGGTGGCCAGGCAACACGGGACAGCGGTAGCAGGGACACAGCTGCTGTTCTTTGTCAATCTCCAGGAGATGGAAAACAGCACCAAAGGATTCCCACAGGATCCCAGAAGCTCTGTGGCCGCTGGTGCCAATAAAGGTGTGGCTGGATGGTGATGGGGTCTTTCTACAGGCCACTCGGCAGCCGGCTCAAGTGTCCTGCCTCTGTCCCTCCTCCCTGTGGACCCTGGGAGAAGGGGCCAGAGCACAGAAAAGCTGGCCAGGGCATCAGGAAGAAAAAGAGAAACGGGAGGCCTTCTTCCCCTTTTACTGTGTGTCCAAGCGCATCACAAATATTGGCACATTTCAGACACACACACACACACGGCTCTTTGAGGAGGTTCTTTAAACGGGAAACTGAGGCTTAGAGACGTTTCTGCCTTGTATCTGGGACTGCCGGATCAGTAAGGAGAGAAGCATCCGTTTGCACCCAGACTTGTCTAATTCCAATGCCTTGTCAAAGTATGATTTTCGAAATTAAAACCCTGTCATATACTCAGATATACATGAGAATTATGCCAAAGTTCAGATTACTTATTACCAAGGGAGGTTAGTTAAAAGGAGAATATGAGAAACATGTGCACCCAAAGGGAAGGTGATGGGGGCACTGGGCTGTGAGGGGTGTTGGCTGCAGAAATGCTTCATGGCTTAGAGGATGACCAGCCGCATCCCTGGGACACCTTTCTGCAGCAGACAGAAATGATTTCCATGTGATCCGTGTCCTACAGCTTGTCAGTGAGTACAGAGTCCGGGCTCTAATTGCTGGTTAAGTCTGGTGACCTGTAGGCAAGTTTTTAAGACACCACTCTTGAGCAACACTGAGAAGACAGGCCATTATTTTTTTTGGCCTTATTTCTAAGTTTTGGGTCATTTTCCTTAACAGTCAATAACTTCTACCATTCCTGTAGATTGTCTCCATTTCTCTCTGCCTAATTGCTCTCTTTCTAACCGACTCCAGTAAGGAAAATGAATGGGACACTATGAACTTTTTACATTGAAAAGAAATCTGGGTGGAATCCTAAGGTGATGGGAGACCCTGGTGTCCCAGAAACCCCAGGGCCAGGGGCCCCTCGAAGCTCTCAGGTAACCAGGCTGACAGCCACAGGTCCTCTGGCATGCTTCCTGGACCCTAACACGGTAAATGGCCAATAACAGATCTGCAGGCATTTCCACCCCTCGCTCTGTTACAAATGAGCCGACCTGTGATGGAGACCAGATCCACGTGGAAAACAGCTGGCAACCAAGAATCTGTCAGCTCCACTCCAAGCTGGCGAGAGCTCTCCGCCCTTGAGGACCGAGGCCCCTCCTGAATTGGTGAAGTTCCACATAGAGGCCTTCACAAAAGGCACATGCAGAAACCTCCGGGTCACAAGCACCCCGAATCCAGTATTCCTGGCAAGTTCAGTGGCTTGTCACCTTGTTCCTACCTGTAGGAGGAGCTTCCTGACCCAAAACCATCAGGTAAATCTGTGATCCTTGCAGGCTTTCTGATCACCTGGAGATGTGTGGTAAATAGCCTCAAAGAAACCAGCCCCGTGGCGGCTGTATTCAGGGTATATGTCTAAAATGTTGGGTCCTAAAAGCAAAAGTAAACCTTGCTTGTGAAATTTTCCCCCTACACACTGCCCCCCGCCCCACAGAAGTGTACACCTCAACAGCATATACCATGGGAGCCAGCTGCAGATGTCAGGCACAGAAAGCCCCCAAGTCTGACTCCTGTCTGAGGGAGTGAGGCTATGGAAGGTTCCATTGCGTTCAAACACAGTGGGGGAGGACGCCCCTTCAGCCCATCAGTGTAATGCCCATGGGCCTCAAGAAGTTTAGAGATTTGTAAGAAAATGCCATTACTAGTAAGAGCTTTCACCCACCGCTTACATGCTAGTAGGACCTGCGACGATCTCTGCCATTGTAGGCGCTCTGCAACTGTCGGTTGAATGCTTGATAATAAGAATTGTGCCATATGATAGTTACTCTGGGTCAGGCACTGTGTTGAGAGCTTTTCATACATTATCTTATTTAATCCTCACAGCCATCTGATAAGGTAGGAAACACTACACAGGTGCTGGGGACACACCACCGCCCCTAAGCTGGAGGAAGCCCACCATTCAGAGAGGAAGGGCACATGTATGGCAATGACAGCACAGTGTGGGAAATGCAGACATGAACCTAAGAGCTGGGTTCCGCTGAGCTGGGGCCATCAAGGACAGCTTCCTGGAAGAGGCAGCACCTCCCCTATGTAAGAGAGGAAGCTGTGTAACTCTGGTCATGCAAACCATGTTCTCCCAACTGCTGTGAGGCTGTTTCCCCTCCGTGGACTGTATTCCCAAGACACAGGCTCTGAGGGTTTGCCTTCTTTTACCCCTCATGTTCCAGGGTGGGAGGCCACATCAGGAGCGACTAGGCCATCTGATCTGTGTGTGTTATGTGTGCATTTAAAATATAATTTTTCAAGGGAAACAAGGCAACCTGCGAAGAGTATTAATTTTTAGCCATTGTAAAATCCAAGCAAAGGAATTAGCTTTAATTTCTTTTCCATTGCCTCAGCTTTTGTCAGTTACTGTACTGTTACCATCCTCTCCTCCGTCCCCCCTCCCCACCACTGTTCTGTTCAGGTGCTTCAGGCAGAGGCTGTGGGCCCAGCCAGAGCCGGGCGGGGGAGTCACGCAGAAAGCCCTGCGTGAACAAGGACAGGCGCATGGCGTGGCGTTCCCTCCCCTCCCTGCCTCCATGAGCTTCCCACTCTGATCTGTATCACTAGCTGCTGGTCGTCTTAGCTGGGCATCCAGGGTTAAATAGCTTGGATCTTGACCCTCAGTACTCTGGCTGAGAAGGGGAGCTTTTCCAGAACCGTAGTCTTTCTGGGACCCACAGAAGTACTGTCACTGCTAGAATTCACTCTGTATTCACGCTGGAGCGGACCCTCCATGTGCCCCATAGAATAAGGGTCCTTGGGTGTCTTCTGATATCCGGCCCTGAACACCGACCTCTTTGCCTCCCATAAGGTCGCCATGGTAAACTTGTTCTTATTCTTGTCAGTCAGTTAGACTCAGGCTAGTGTTTTCTTTAGAGACTTCCTTGAAGTCCAGCAACAATCAAACTGTCTTTATTTAAATGATGGCTTCTGGTTGCCCTGATCCTCTGAGGGCAGTGGGGGTGGGGTGGGGGTGGGGGAGCGATCAGACACATCCCCTGCGGTTGCCACATCTCCCAAGTGCGTGGAACCTGCTGGGCAGTGCCCCCTGAGCCCAGAGGGGGGTGACCTGTGGGCAAGCCAACTGCCTCCAAGGGTCCCAGGCTGGCACTGTTGGTGCTGCAGCCCTGTCTCTCCCCTGGAGACCTCACCTGGTTCACTTTAAGGTATCAGCATTGCTTGGCCTGCAGGGCAGGGTTTTGGGGGTGCCAGTGCCTTCACAGAGCACTGCTGGTGACAGGGAGGAAGCGGCGGGTTCCCCCTCAACCCTGCCTCTGTCACCTGCTCCCTCCAGGAGTGGCCGGGCCGACCTGGCAGCCGTCTACTACGAGCGCATTGACGTGGAAGGCCACCACCATGGCCCCTCCTCGCCTCAGACCCAGGACGCCCTGAAGGCTGTGGACACTGTTCTGAAGTACATGACCAAGTGGATCCAGGTGACGCGGGAAGGACTCCAGGCTCACCTTCCCTCCTGTCACTCCCCTCTGTCTCCTTGACGGTCACCCCCCTCAACATGGTCCTCCCCCTGTTGGTAGCTGATGAGGCCAGCACCGGCTGCACTGGGTCTCTTCTCTTCACGCCATGCCTCTCTAGGTGCCAGGGGCTCCCCTGTTTCTCAGCCCAGCCAGCAGGGTTGCGATGACCCAGATCTGCACTGTTACCTGGCTTAGCAGGCGAGGCGGCCCAGGTCTTTACCTAACCTGCCACGTTTGGTAACCAGGTTGGTGTGGGCATGGAAACCAGGCCTGGGTCTGCCACATCCTTGCTGAATGGCTTTAAGCAAGGTATTGTTTTTTTAAATTTTTCCTGGGCTTTATTCTTCACATCTATAAAATGGGTGAATGAGAGTTCTCATATTACCGCACAAAGTTTGTTGAAGGATCCAAAGAAGATGAACAGAGAGGTACCTTAAGGGCTCAAGTCCCGGATGTATTATTTTTAGCCCTAAAATGGGGGCTGCTTCTGCTATGCCTCTGAACGCTGTCACATCAGGGAAGAGGAGCAGACAGTTCAGTTTCAGAATCGAGGAAGTGTCCTTCTCCTCCTACCCGTAGCTTGAAACACCTCTTACAAGATTCCGAGTATAGGCGCTTCCGTCTTGACACTGTCCTGACCTCCTCTGTCTGCCCACAGGAGCGGGCGCTGCAGGACAACCTCAACGTCATCATCTTCTCAGATCACGGAATGGCCGACATCTTCTGGATGGACAAAGTGATCGAGCTGGATAAGTACATCAGCCTGAACGACCTGCAGCAAATGAAGGACCGGGGGCCAGTTGTGAGCCTGTGGCCAGCCCCCGGGAGACACACTGAGGCAAGGGGCGAGGGGTGGTGGAGGGAATGGGGTGCGCGGCCCGTGCCCTGCAGCTTCAGTGCCAGAGACAGAGCAGCGTCAGCAGCTGGGACTCTGGGGGCAGGGGCCTATGTTGCCACTCACTCACTGAGTAGCCTCTGTCACCTTGTTCTCCCATGTCCCTGGCTTCTCTGACCTGGGCAGAGTGATATCTCCCAATGTTAGTGGAAATTGAGACGTAGTGTGTTATGTGCTTAGTAGGGCTACTTTTTTACTGCCCCAAACTCAGTGCTTCTCAGGCAAATCTGGGGAGTATTGGATGCCCACATAGAATGCCTTTTCTCTGGCAGAAAGTTGCTGGTCTGATGTGTTTTCATCAGAAAATGGGAGATTAAAGTGGAGCGTGAACAGGGGGTGTGTGCCCTGACCAGCTACTCACCGTGGGAGCCGCGCTGCTGGGCTCAAGTCCCAGCTCTGTCCTCAGCTGTGCCCGGGTGGCTGCTCTGCCCTGCCCCCTCTGCTGCTTCTCTGTCCCTGTGCCCCTGGGCTGCTGTGAAGTACATTTAGGACCGTCCTGGGCTCACTGGGAGGACAACATATGTGTCACTTAGTACAGTTATCACCAGTGACGGGGACATTCCCAAGAGAGGTGGTTGAGTTCCCACACTGAGTGGATGTGGGACCAGGCTCTGCTCCAGCCACTGCCCCTCAGGACCACAGCACCCGGGAGGACCAAATCTCTATGCACCCGCCTCTCCAAACCATGACTTCCCGGCAGTACTTGGTAAACCGGGCTGAGAAAAGGCGGAGGTGCATGAGGCACTTGGCTGATGTGTGGCCACATTGCCTCCCCACACCTGCTCTGGGGCTTCTGTCTGCACCCAGAGAAAGCTGTGCAGGACCAGAAAGCCAGCCCCCTCCCTGCTGCCAGTAGAGGGGCTGACCCCGGAATAGGCCTGGTGGGCCGGGGGCCTCTGCCCAACCTCACAGTGGCGATATAGCTGGTGGTGCCGGTACTGATGGAGAGAGCTGGGATATGCAGGGGTCTCTCCTCCGTGGCCCAGAGGGAGCCCTCCTCCCAACCCCGTGTGCCCCTGTATAAGCCTCTAAGATCTGGCTGTTTGGGGTTTGGGGAGCACAATATGAAACTGGGAAGAATATTTAAACACACTTGGCAGGTCCCACAGTCAATGGTTTCTTGCGAAGAAACTCTGTTTTTCTGGCGAGGAGCAGCATCCCTATCTCTAGCTTGGCACTTAGCAACGGGCTGTCTCCAGAACGCTTTCGCATCAACAGCTTACGAACTGGGAAGAGCTTCCTCCAACGTGGTGTTTAAGTCAGGCAGTTGCAAGCCGCCTGCCTAAAGCAGTTGGTAGATTATTCAAAAGTGGGGGCTATGTTTGGGTGACAGTTTGTCACGTGATGGACACAACAGTTTGTAAGACCTGTTATGTGTCATCAGATTTTTCACTTGTCCAAATCTTTCTGCCTATACACCCTACTTTCCTTAAAACTTACAGGTTTTTCAAAGGGAAATCCTAAGCCAAGGGCCATCAGAAACCTCCTACTAAACAGCCTAAAGACTAATTATTTTCCAGACTTGAATTGATAAACTCAATTTAATATTTGGTTTTACTCAGGGCACGTAGGGCTCTGGCTAAGAGCCAACAGGCAACATCAGCTGGTTGATTTTCATTTTATCCACAAATATTTAAGCTGCTTAGAAGTAGTGGAAATATGTACAGAGTTTATACCTTCATCATGAAACTAGCAGTGTAACTAGTGGCAAATAATTATTACCATGTTAAGATCCAGGTGTAAGTAGGACATGTTCTAAGTCAAGTCAAAAACAAATCCTCGTTCTCTGACCTTGGTATTTAACATTAGGCAGACCAGTTTCTCACTTGCCTTTTGACACAAATAACTTCTGTAATTTGTTTATTACATAGATACCAAAAGTTATTATAAAATTTTATATTAAGTATCGTATATGTAAATTTATATTAAAATATTGTATAAAAATATCATACTATATTAAATATAATTGATATCACAAATTTTTATGTGTGTAAAGCATGAAGGAAAGTATATATACAATAGGCAGCTCATAGTCACTAAACATTCTAGAAATGGGACATTACCACTGGTAGTGGTTCCTCTGTGTGCCCTTCCCAGACCACATCACCTTTGTGCCCCTCAGAGAAAGCCGCTGTCCTAAAGTAGGAGTTCTCATTTCTATAATTCTCTTTATAGTTTTACCATATGTGTTCTTTGGTTGTATAGCTGTTCAAGCTTCATATAAGGAATAACCTGTCTGTATTCTTCTGCAACTTGATTTTTCTTTTTTCTCAGCTAAGATGCCTGAGCTTCTTCCAGGTGCTCTGCACAGCAGTAATGCACCCATCTTCATTGCTGTATAGTATTCCACTGCCGACCCACAGCACCGTTCACTATCCCTTCCACTGTTGCTGGGCATTGGGGCCACTCCAGCTGCAGTATATATCTATCTATGTGTCTACAGGCACATGTGAATGAGGGGTTCTCATGTGTTCCTAGGAGTTAACTTGTTAAGTCATGGGCTATGTGGATCTTTAGTTTTACTAGATAAAGGCACTTTGATTTCTGAGACAAAAGTTTCTCATTTTTATGCAGTCAAATCTATCAGATGTTTTGGTGATTTCTTTCTTTGGTCTTATGAACCCCTCCCTCTCCTCCAGGTCTAATAAATATTCACATATATTTAAGAAAACAAATACAAACCGACCATTCTTGGTTACCTTTGCAGGTATATAACAAACTGAGAACTGTAGAACACATGACTGTCTACGAGAAAGAAGCCATACCAAATAGGTTCCATTACAAGAAGGGGAAATTCGTCTCTCCTTTGACCTTGGTGGCCGATGAAGGATGGTTCATAACTGAGGTAATTACAAAATATATGACAATATATTCATTATGCAAATTCTACCAAACAGCCAGAGATAAGTAATTATTCAACTTTTATATGTAAAAGATTTTGTTTTCACTTGTGTCAATTCATTGCATTATTTCCTCCTTCAGAGGATCAAGAGGCTTGGTCAGGTGCCTTTGTAGAGACAAACTGTGGACTCGGACCTGGAGTCATGGTTTAGATTTCATGGCTCCAGACTCTGTATTCTAACAAATGAACCTTAACTCAATTATCCACGCCTACAACGTAACCTATTCAGTTTAAAGTAGGACAGTTACTGCGAACCAGCACAATTGCTTTAGGGCAGTGAAAGGCAAGGAGACACACACCTTTGCTCTTACCTTTAAGAGAAATGTTCATCAAACAAGACTCCGTACATCCGGGTCCCAGCCTACCAGCTCGATGTCACAGAAGAGATTGTCTTGCTTTCTGGGGCCAAACCCTAACTGCCTCGTGCCCGAATGGCTTCAGCGGCCTCCCCCTTGCCTGCCTGGACGCCCAGCTCAGCAGGCTCTTGAACCAGCTTCTGCACTGGGCCAGCATGAGGAATCCACCATCACGTCCTGTTTAGAACCCGTTCCTGAAGAAGACACGGGTTATTGTAGATACGAGTTTGAAGATGGGCTGCAAATAGTTCAGACTACAAGGTAAAAGAGAGTGGCAGACGTCGGTACATGGGGCTCTTTGGTCAGGGCTGATAAAATATAAGGCCTAAGACTAAGTATCCAATGTGCCAGAGAGAAGGCAGATAGTGGCCAACAGAAATATGATGTAGCACATGAATGGAAGTCTAGGGACCTGGGTGTGGGCCAATGGGGGTTCCTTGAGATGAAAAATTCAATCATTCGGGAGGACTAAGTCATTCCTGTGTGCTCTCAGACAAAAAGCATCAGCTGGTCACCAAGGACACACAGCAGCCCTGTGGGCAATGTCAGCCACCCAGTGCCGAGGCCAGACTGGGCCTTCCCAATGCACAGACTTTGGCGTCCTGTGCCATGTGATTCTAAGAGTTTACAAGAACGCCCTCTGCCCACTACTTCTGTCTCCTCTAAGAACCAAATGCTTCTCTTCACTTTAGCACAATGTTTGACGTTCCCCTGGAGCGAGATTATTCTAGGCTCACAGCATTTTCATTTAGAGTGGTTTTCTCAGGGCTTTGCCGTGAACACACATGCAGTCAAGTGGGTCAGCTCGGTAGGTGCCTGTGCAGCTTTATGCCCCAAAGCCAGCTGTCCAAGTCTTCTAAGAGGGCTTACATTTTGTAACGCTGTCAACTTAGAAAATCCTGGTGGAATTGCTTTTGAGTTTGTAAAAGCAAATGGATGATGAGGATTAATCCACAGTTAGCTGTCACTCATTTCTTAGCATGACTTTGTGTCTCTAATGTTTACTGTCTTGTATTTAGGGAAACCAACCACACTGTGGGGCTCGTTCATGGCACGGAGGGAGCTGTTAGAAAGAACGACAGAGGTGATTTGGGGTAATTTACAGGAAAACAGGCTGAGGTCGGGAGAGTGGTAAAGCCAGAGGGCAACATGACAATAAGATGCCAGGGGGCCACAGTCACAAGACAGAGGTGATCCAGGGGCTGGAAATGAGGCAGACAAGGTCCCCAGCTCTTAGGTCCCAAAGAAGGGGTGAGGGGAGACCAAGGACCAGCTTGCTGACCAGCAGAGGCCCTTGCAGGAGGCCCAGGGACAGAGCTGATGGGGCCTCGTCCTGCCCCCACATACCCTTCCCTCCCTCCCCACACCCCCCACACTTCTGAGGGTCCAAGCCCTGCCCTCCTGCGGCAACCGGCCAATTCCAGGGTCTTCTGAGGGTAAAGCCACAGGATAGTTGCACACGATACTAAGTACGGCATATTTTGTATGTATCACACAAATACACGTACGTAAGTTTGTTTGTGTGAATCAGAAGTGTCAGTCGTCAGTTCGCGTGGGCTACCCAATATTTCCCTGGATGCCTAAGAACAGGGGAGAAGCCACAAGAATGGACAGGAAGAATGCTTCACTATTGACAATTACTTGAACAGCTCTTTAAAAATATATAATTATCTCAAAAAGGAAATTTGAGGTGATTTTTTAAAATACTTGAACCAGAAAGCTTTTTCTCTAAAGAAGGAAAATCAGAAGGGAAACAGGATGTGAAAAAATAAGATTAGTTCTGAAGGCTTAACGTTGACGCATTGAATATAGAGGCTCTCACTGCCGCCTCACACAGCTTCAGTTGGTAATAACGGGCACTGCAAAACTCGCCATTTGTCATGCCTGTCTCGTAACACGCTGTAGGATGATTCCTCCCCCCATGTACATAAAGTCATTTTAGCTGTTACAGACAGTAAGTCCATCAAGAAAAATTACTTCTTAAAACTTTGTTCAGCAACATCGACGACAATAATAATAGCTATTTTCAGTTAAGTACCTCTTGGTTACTATGTCTAATTCTCTCAGTGACTCTGCATTGTGGGTAGTGTTAGTCCTGAAACTAACATACCATAACATGAAAGGGAACACAAATGCAGTTCTGAGCCTCCTAGCAGCCAACTCAAAGCGGAAAGTACAATCAATTATATACTGTGACTTATGCTGTCTGTACCATAAAAACACAGATGTTTCACTGGAAGACCGTGGTTGTCCGTGAGGCCTCTGAGAGATTTACATGTCTTTTAGTCACTCTTTTTTGTGCCTTAGTTTCACAGACTGAATACCTTAATCATTTAACTCCTATCCTTGAATTTATGGATTTTTATTTTTAAGACTGATATGTAAAAATTATAATTTCTAATTCTACTTTGACATAACATTGGGGTTTTCTCCCTTTGTCTTCTGAAAAAACCTAAAAACAAGTGTCCATTTCTTTCCTTGTTGTCTCAGACGTTTTCTTTGATATCTTTCTGACGTTTATTATTATTACTTGACTACAGAGAACTGCTCTGTGCCAGGGCTGTTCATCTCCCTTGTTCCTATCTGCAAAATCTCTCCACATGGTATAAGGACCCTGCCGTGCTCTGTGACCCGCATACCAGTGCACAGCGCGTGCCAGATGTTCCTGTGCTGGGCCGCATTTTGCATCTGCAACAGGGCGAAGTTCTCAGCCCTGAAAGCAGTTTCTCTGGGTTTAGGTTTGGATAGCAGAGGCAGCTTTGGTTCAGGAATGATCAGGAAAACAGCTGAGTAAGGACACCGGATGCTGGCTGGGGCCCAAACCGAATCCCATCTCCCCTTCCTTTCCCCCTACGGCCTCCACCCCATAAACATGCAAGATTTGGCTTCCTTGGCAAAAATGCCACTCTCATATTAGACAGCAACTTGGGCCACCAGTTTAGGTTTTGCTGACTCTAAGGCAGCTGCTCTAACAGGAAGACTTCACTGAGTTCTCTTTTATGAATGGTTGTTTAGAGGGCGCGCCCTGAAAAAGATAAAGACGGAGTAACAAATTTAATTTGTCACCTGGCACTTCACAGTTTTCCCAGGCGACTGCTGTCGTGGCCGTTTAAAACCAGGCTCTCTCCTCCTGCTGCTGCTGCGCTCTTTAGCATCCAGACGGGACCTCCAGCTCCTGCCGGCCCTTCCTCTGGCCTCCCCTCCTGCAGAGGCAGAAATCCGAAGCTGTTCATATTCCCGGAGGACTAAACGTGAGACGGCAAGGACCAGGCCGTCTGCGGAAGTCAAACCCCAGCCCGTCACACCTGCAACAACAGCTTTCTTGAATTAAGTGTTCCCTGGTTACTATCGCTGCCCCGTGGATGTTATTTCCAATTCTACTAAGTTAACTGAGGCTCAGAGTTGTTGATGCTTAGTGTTGCAAATCTAGGAAAGGCCAAGCCAGGATTTCAACCCCAATGTAACCATTAGGCTCACAGTCAATTCCACCCTCCAAAGACCCTCCACACCTTTCACCAAAATGTTCAATGTATTTCTAATTTCATGGTTTGGAATTCCAGACTCACCCTTCTGGTCCCAGCAGGGTCCAGGGCTAAGTCTCAGCCCTTTCACAAAAGTTCTCACATCGTCATTTCTCGTTTGCTTGCTCACATCACCCCGCAGAAGCTCTACACTGGCTCAGCTGCTCCCCGGCCCCCTTTGTCTCTCCCTACACCGCGGCCCTCCCCTTTTCTAGCACCGACACAGGCGATTCGCACACACTTGACCCAGAGTTTTCACGTGTGGGAAAATGGTGCTTTCAGTGCAAGGCTGAACGGTTAAGAGTTAAGAGGTTGGGGTCCCAACACACTGCATTCCCTCCTTCCCCATGCCTGTTCTCCGCAGGCTCCGGTAACCTATCAGCCCAGTAGGTGGTCAGCAGGGGCTCTGAGTGCCCTTCCCAACTCCCACGTGCCCCTGAGCCCAGCTCAGTTCTGTCTCCTGCAGGTCACACCCAGCTCTCCCCTGATTCCCTCCGCCTAGGAGTTCTGATCCGACCTGAGTCACTGCCCTGGGGACTGTGCTTGCCCGTCTGCTTTTGCACACCACCCTCCTGGGGTGGAAGCTCCCTGAGGGCAGGTCTGTGGCATCGTAACACACGTTTTGCTCCATGGAACCAAGTACACAGCAGAGGCTCAGTAGGTGTTTGTCAAAGATGAATGAACAAATGTTGAGACAGTTGATTCTGGGTTATTTATCAACAGGCTGTTCGCTTTGTAGGTTTACAAATCAGTAATCAAGTAAACAGAGAGGAAAGCTAAGTCAGGCCTTTAACTTTGGCTAATTTTTAGAGAGTTTTCAACAGGGAATGGACACTGAATCTACTGATGGCAGGTTGCCTGGTTCCAGTGAGCACACAGCTGGAGCCCAAGGGCAGGACACGTCAGCTCTCCCAGTCCCCACCCAGTGTCAAGGGCTAATTCCCATGGCTCTACCTCATGCCATCATGCTCAAAAAGACAGGATGGACCCCAACCTGGTGAGAGATTGTAAAACACGGTGCTTCGCTGTTGATCTTCTGGACTCTTGCCTGAGTGGAGAGAAATAAGGCAATTCAGGCTCAAGCTTCTAAGAGAGGCCAATATTTGTCTCTGGAGTAAAGATTTATTTTGAGAACTGGCAAAGGATATGAAATGCCAGGCTCAATTCTAAGGCCTGTGCTTGAATGGCAGTTAGGCCTGGACCCAAAATAGTTGGGGGAAATCAAGACAATCTGGAAAGCATGGCTTCTGAGTTTTAGTGGCAGCTGGAGTGGTATTGTCCAGGCTCGACTACTTGGGCTTCAGGAAGTCGGACGCCGAGAGCCGGGAGCTGCCCCCTCTCCGGCAGTGATTAGGGTCGTCAGCTCGAGCCGAGAGCACACGCACGCCCTCCTCACCGCTGGCACACTGCAGTGAACATGATCGTGGGGAAAAGGGAAGGAACCCTATCCACTCAGAGCTCTCCAAAATTTCACTCTACTCCAAGGAATTCTGGTTCTCCGTTCCTGCTGATTTTGCAATCTGGCATTTTCCATTTCAAAGATCAGGGCTTTCCAGGGTCAGACCAGGGTCACAGGCCTGAGTAATTAAATTCTGTTTAGAAAGAAGCAGCTATCTAAGACAGAGAAGCTCTCTGAAGGACATCTCTTAGCAGTGGTGTGCGGCAAACACACATCTTGGGGTTCCTAGCCACCACTCCCATGGGGCTCCAAGTCATGCCAACAGGAAGCCTCACAGAAGGAGAATTTGAAACAGCAATGCCACAAAATCTGAGCAATACTGGCTTGTAACAGGAACTGCCTCTCACCCTGGGCCCTAGCAGCAAAGCCACGGGGCCGGCCAACGTGGTCCCGGCAGCAGGCATTTCCCATGAAGCTGCCCTGAGGGGGGTGGTTATCAGATGCCTTTTCAGCCTGAGATGATTGTTATATTTTCAGGGCATGGGAGGCTCCTCTTAAAATCCTGTCCTAGGAGAATAAAGTAGATTTAATTTTTATTCGGCTCCTCACCCACTTTAGATAGGTGTTCACCTTTCGTTTATTTTAATCTGACCAGATTTTAGGCATGTTTCTGGGTGCCCTAGAGATCTGCTGAGATGCCTCTTCAGGGAGGGAGGGGGAAATTTGGGTCCCTGACTTCACATCCCTGGAAGAAATATACTTTTAGTTGTTGAAAGAAGGGGTGATAGTCAAAATCTTTAAGAGCCAGCACCCACAGCACCAGTCAAGGAGACTGGGTGCCAGCTGGAAGAGGCCAACGGGGCCGCAGCGTTTCCTGCTCTGGAAAGCAGCCCCATGGGAGCCGAGTCCGCCTGGCTCTGTGCCCCCCGAGGCCCTCTGGGTGGGAGCCCCTCTGCTGCCACGCCAGGCCACAGACAGAGCAAGGGCGCAGGCTCGGGCCTCAGCGTGGTGCTCCAGTATAAACAGGAGGGGTCCTCAGGAGGGAACCAGCAGCCACGCGTCACAGCCCATCACAGGGGCCAGGTAAACGGCCCGCCTGACTGTGCACCCCAGTTACCTGGGAGGAGATCACTAAACAGAGATCCTCTGCCTCAGCCCCACCTACTGAATGCAGGTACCCAAAGGGAGCTCAGGATAAGCTCAGGGCAGTCTCCACACAGCCAGGCTGGGGTGCCTGCAGTGTACACGGTCTGTGCTGGGAATTTTGAGTTTCAAGGTGGGAGTGCCCACTACGGCCCCAGGGCTGGGGACAGGGCAGGGTAGGGGGAGACTGGACAGGAAGTCACCCAACCAATGCCCCTGAAGCTCCATGGCTGGGGAGGGAACCCATGCAGGACAGAGTTCCACCTCCTTGCCTGCCCACAAAAAGTCATTTTGGGGTACAGGGCAAGAGCTGGGGTCCAGGTGTCATCTAGTAGCTGGCAGCCCTCCCACATCCTCAGGAGTACTTTTCTCCCAGGCTTAGCAACCATTTCTGATCTATTACCGAGGGGAAACCAGAAGGAGCAGCTGAAACGATGAGAACGTGTCGAGGCCCCTGAGTCTGCCATGGCGAGTGCCCTGGCCACAGGCTGCTTCCCGTTTCTTCCCGTCCTCCCCTCCCTTCTCCCGCCTGCACCCGAGTCTCCAGCCATCCCCCCATTTCTGACTGTGCCTCCAAATTCTAAGAGATGCATCCAGACAAGTGCTGAGCAAACTCCATTAACTGCTTTTCTGATTCGGGAGTAAGCAGTGAATGTTCCTTTTTTTTTTTTTTTACCACTAAGGAAGATCTAGGCTGGCAACTGTGGCTCTTGTCTCACACATATTCCCCTGCTTCTCAGACCCAGGCAAGTGCACGGCAGACCCTGTGGCGGTGAGCTGGTAGTGCCCGCGCGGGCGCCCACACGGAGCGCTGGCCCATACGTGTGCACCTACACCGTGGCTCACAGGGTTGCCTCGTGTGGAGCTATTCCTGGTTCCTTAGAAGCGACTGACTCGTTTGGGGGCCTCCCCGGGGAGGGTGCTGGCGCTGCTGTCCACCAGGTACCGAGGACAGGGCCCTGGAGGCACTCGAGTGTGCTGAACAAATCACCCTCGGTGAGGATTTTATTTAAACTTCAAGGCGGTGCTCAGTGCAGAGTGGCCACCTTGTCCCCGTTTGCCTAGGACTGTTCTGGTTCAGCGTTGGGAGTCTTGCATCTCTGGAGCCCCATCAGTCCCAGGGAAACCGGGACAGGCGGCCACCTTACGGACCGGCCAGCCTCAGGCGGCACTGAGAGTGGAGAGTGCCCAGTGCCTCCCTCCTCCCTGTCTGATGACTGCTTTCTTCTCATGCTCTTCCCACACAAGGTGTGCAAGGTCCCCCCGTGACTCAGGACCTTCTGTATCAGACCCTCCCCACCAAATTCCAAAAGGTCCCATTGCTGGGGGGGCCTCCACACCCCCCCATCAGTGTGAGAGCCTCCCGTGGGGCCTCCTCCGTGGGTCCCCTGCTGCGCGCACCACTCTTCTGCCCAGTCCCTCACCTTTGGCCGGATCTGAGGGTCTGGGCACCTCCCCGGGGGGTCACCAGGTGGCACTGTGTGGTGGTTGCTGGCCTGGTAGGGTCAGGATGGGGCCGGGCTCCTCGGCCAGTGGCTGGAGGACCCGCAGCCTGGGGTTCCCCCTCTGCAGGCGGAGAGGACTGACACACCCTTCCTCAGCCTGGCCCCGTGGGTGTGCCTCTGGGACGGTGCGCGCCGGGACAAGTACTTGAGCAAAAGCCACTAGGAGGAGAAAAGCAGAAAATCACCAACTCGCCATTTTGAAGTCAAGGCTGTATACTTAACGTAACCCATTCAACGAGGTAGATGAAACTATTAGCTTCTCACCTAACCAGCCAGTTTACTAATATTCCTTAAAACCGGGAAGAATCATTCTTTTGCTGGAGCAAGTTGTCACTTGACTAAAAATGGCAGACTTCCTGGTGATGGGCCAGACGCCCGTTACCTTCGGGGCTGAGACCCTCACTGCGGTGTGTTTCGCTGAATTTTAAATCAGGTCATCCGCCCTCGCCTCCTTTTCACCTGCCCCTCGGTCACGGGGTGCACACAGCCCCTGGGGCTCACAGTCAGTGAAGTCGTCGTCGGTAGCAGCACGTCCCACCTAGTGCCTGTGAGGGGAAGCGACACATTAAATCAGCTGACGAAGCTAAATCGGGATGTGTTGTGACCATCACTGCAGACAGATGAAGAACGAAAACAGTGTGACAAGTTAGAAATGCAGTAAGTCAATAAACACATTGCCATGGAAAAGTACCAGCTACCGCTGGAGGAGGGACCAGAGATGGCGGAAACTCAGGAAACAGGGAGGCAGTGAAATAGGGCGATTCGGCAAGTGGTAATGCCAGGGAGCGACTTATGGGCGAGAGCGGATGGGTGCGCGATGCGATGCGATGCGATATGACAGCTGAGCAAGCCAGGGAGAGTTCACCCGCCCTGCCGCCCAGGGCCAGGTCGCCTCGCCCACAGCTGCCGGTGTCTGGTGGCCATCCGCAGCCATTTACTGAGCACCTAGTTTAATGGCACTAGTAAAGGTAACCCCGTTCCTTGACTGCAGCCTCCTCAGCATTCACGGAACCTTCCATGAGCCTTTAGGCTCTCAGCACACAGTCGTGCCATTCTCCAAAAGCTCCGTGAGGCAGTGTGATCACAGCCAGCAAGGAAATTGAAGCTCAGAGGAGATGGGTAGCATGTCAGGACCACAGAGCTGGGACGCGGCAAACTGGAATTCAGCCCCACACCAATGCAGTTCCCAGATCTTTTCTGTGTATTTTATGACTGGCCACCACTCAGTGAATGAAGAGGCAGGGGGTGGGGGACACTTCACTGCCCAGTGCCCTTTGGCTGCACAAAGACTGGGAGACAGAAGACCTGGGTTCCCATCCCAGTCCTGCCTTGCAACAGCTGTGTGGCTTTAAGAGTGCTCCTTAACCTCTCTGTGCCTTGGTTCCTTTGACTGCAAGGTTGAAGGGGAAAACAGTTTCCACACTGGGATGTGCTGATGACTGAGTGAATGTCACTGTAGGCTCTTGGTGAACGTATGGCAAATTAAATACCTGGTACTATTTACTACCAGTGTTCAGAGCCAACCCGTAAATGGCTGGCACTTGGGCTGTTGGCTTCCTCTCACCCATCACAACCAGTCAGTTCCACCTTTAGCATTTGAAATAGTTGTGATAACAAATCCCACTCAGCAAGATGATGGGAACATCAAGAATGAAGAGTCAGTCTGCAGTGAAGGGCGAGGGTTGTGTCCAGCTGGCGGCAGCCTCCTCGGGATTCTCAGAACCTTCCGTAAGCCTTCTGTCTCACAGGTGAGCATCTATGGCCTGAGAAAACAGGAGCTCTGGAGGTAAGAAGGGTGACAGTGCAGTGAGGCTGCCGGAACCCAGCCCAAATGAAGAATGGCTGGAGGAAATGAAGATATGCAAGGCCTGGAGAAGAGCAATGTGAGCCTCATCCTCAAACGTTTGGCTAAAGTGAGAGGAAGGGACTCATTTATTCCAAATTGCTCCCAACAGAGGAGCTAGAAAAAGTCAGGTCAGGCTGGTATGCATGGTGGGAAGACCAGTGGGGTAGCAGTGAGTGGACTACCTCTGGGCACTGATGGCTTTGATAGGAAATGAGGTGATCAGATTAGACGCCGTGTTGTCCAACAGCAGTTCCTGGATGGCACCTGGTGTCCCACAATTCAGTCTAGTTCTGCCAGTAACTCCTGGGAGGTAGAGCAGCCCCCACACATTAAGGGGCTCAGTCCCACAAGGCTGCCCCTACTTCAAATGCCAGCCGCAAGTCCCAGGTCCCCAGGGTACCCACACTTTTGTCTGACTTGGCTATAAATTTGAGGGTTCTCCCAGGCCCCCTTCAGGTTTGGGTAATTCACTGGAGTGAATCACAGAACTCAGAAAAGTGCTATGCTTATGATTCATTTTATTACAGGGGATACAATTCAGGAACAGCCAATGGAAGTGATGCGGAGGGCAGGATGTAGGTGGGGAACAGAGTTTCCACGCTCTCGTTGGGCACGCCACACTTCTGGGACAGCAGGGTAACCCAGAAGTGCCCTGAACCACATTGTTCTAGGGTCTTTTTATGGGGTTTCATTGTGCAGGCATGGTGCTTGATTAAATCATTGGCCGCATGATTCCACTCAATCTGAGAGCTCAGAGGATGGAGTTGAAAGGTGTAGCCCTCTCCGGATGTGGTTGGTCCCTCTGGTGACCAGCCCCCGTCCTGACGCTATCTAGTCTCCACCTCCGTAAGTCATCTCATTAGCATAAACTCAGGTATGGGAACTAGGGGCTTGTTACAGAAAACAAAGCACTCCTGTTGCTTGGGAAATTCAAAGGGTTTCAGGAGCTCTGGTCCAGGAACCTGGGACAAAGGCCAAATATATTTTTTATTAGACCACAGATACCCTTTAACATCCCTTCTGCCTCTAACATGCTATCTTTAGTGGCTCTAAAACTGATTATGAGGTGCAGTTCAGCTCAATGTAAGAAAATACTTTTATACCTACAGCTCTTTGGCAATTTAATGGTCTGCCTCCAAAGTCTGGGCTACCTGGAGTAGAAGGTGGTCCAGCTGAGGCTGGATGACCCCCAGTGGAGAAGATGGGGGAGGAAAACCCCCACATCGGGTGGTGGTTTGGACCAGATGCTCCCTCACCACGATCGCTGGGACACAGGGTAATGTAGTCGCCTCGCCTCGTTTCAGAATCGAGAGACGCTCCCATTTTGGATGAACAGCACCAGCAAGAGGGAAGGCTGGCAGCACGGGTGGCACGGCTATGACAATGAAATCATGGACATGCGGGGCATCTTCCTGGCCTTTGGACCCGGTAGGCAAGAAAGAACCCAATTCCCTCCGTTCTCCTTATTCGCGGAAGTGTGTCCGGTTGGGGCTGATGGCACTGGTGAAGGCTGGGGTGGTCTCTGTATGGACCCCCTTTATGAGTAAAGCTGAGCAGACCCAGCTGGTCTCCATGAAACATATTTTGCTGGCTGGCTTTCAAGTGCTTCTTGGGTTTGGCAAATGTAGCCAAATACTTTTCCTTGTAACTTTTAAATCTTGAGTGCAGTGAAGAAAATGTATTCCACATGTTTGTGATTCATTTTTTACTTAATTCATCAAAATGTTATTTCACAGCTATCTGCTGTCCAGGAAAAGCTTATGAGACACCAGGTTGCTGACAGCCATGAGTCTCAGAGTTGGCGGGATCACTTCACGGGGTCGGACCCCTTCACAGCTCCCCCCTGTCGAGAGCACCCACCTCGGTGTGGGTCACTCAGCTTAGGGCCCAACCAGAAGCTGGGATCCGCTCAAGGGCAGGCTAGGAAATGACCCTGAGACTGACTTTGAGAATGCAGCACAAGGACCAGGGATGCCTTGGATGAAAGCAGATTTTGTGGTGTCCAACAGCAGTTCCTGGATGGCACCTGGTGTCCCACAATTCAGTCTAGTTCTGCCAGTAACTCCTGGGAGGTAGAGCAGCCCCCACACATTAAGGGGCTCAGTCCCACAAGGCTGCCCCTACTTCAGATGCCAGCCGCAAGTCCCAGGTCCCCAGGGTACCCACACTTTTGTCTGACTTGGCTATAAATTTGAGGGTTCTCCCAGGCCCCCTTCAGGTTTGGGTAATTCACTGGAGTGAATCACAGAACTCAGAAAAGTGCTATGCTTATGATTCATTTTATTACAGGGGATACAATTCAGGAACAGCCAATGGAAGTGATGCGGAGGGCAGGATGTAGGTGGGGAACAGAGTTTCCACGCTCTCGTTGGGCACGCCACACTTCTGGGACAGCAGGGTAACCCAGAAGTGCCCTGAACCACATTGTTCTAGGGTCTTTTTATGGGGTTTCATTGTGCAGGCATGGTGCTTGATTAAATCATTGGCCGCATGATTCCACTCAATCTGAGAGCTCAGAGGATGGAGTTGAAAGGTGTAGCCCTCTCCGGATGTGGTTGGTCCCTCTGGTGACCAGCCCCCGTCCTGACGCTATCTAGTCTCCACCTCCGTAAGTCATCTCATTAGCATAAACTCAGGTATGGGAACTAGGGGCTTGTTACAGAAAACAAAGCACTCCTGTTGCTTGGGAAATTCAAAGGGTTTCAGGAGCTCTGGTCCAGGAACCTGGGACAAAGGCCAAATATATTTTTTATTAGACCACAGATACCCTTTAACATCCCTTCTGCCTCTAACATGCTATCTTTAGTGGCTCTAAAACTGATTATGAGGTGCAGTTCAGCTCAATGTAAGAAAATACTTTTATACCTACAGCTCTTTGGCAATTTAATGGTCTGCCTCCAAAGTCTGGGCTACCTGGAGTAGGAGGTGGTCCAGCTGAGGCTGGATGACCCCCAGTGGAGAAGATGGGGGAGGAAACCCCCACATCGGGTGGTGGTTTGGACCAGATGCTCCCTCACCACGATCGCTGGGACACAGGGTAATGTAGTCGCCTCGCCTCGTTTCAGAATCGAGAGACGCTCCCATTTTGGATGAACAGCACCAGCAAGAGGGAAGGCTGGCAGCACGGGTGGCACGGCTATGACAATGAAATCATGGACATGCGGGGCATCTTCCTGGCCTTTGGACCCGGTAGGCAAGAAAGAACCCAATTCCCTCCGTTCTCCTTATTCGCGGAAGTGTGTCCGGTTGGGGCTGATGGCACTGGTGAAGGCTGGGGTGGTCTCTGTATGGACCCCCTTTATGAGTAAAGCTGAGCAGACCCAGCTGGTCTCCATGAAACATATTTTGCTGGCTGGCTTTCAAGTGCTTCTTGGGTTTGGCAAATGTAGCCAAATACTTTTCCTTGTAACTTTTAAATCTTGAGTGCAGTGAAGAAAATGTATTCCACATGTTTGTGATTCATTTTTTACTTAATTCATCAAAATGTTATTTCACAGCTATCTGCTGTCCAGGAAAAGCTTATGAGACACCAGGTTGCTGACAGCCATGAGTCTCAGAGTTGGCGGGATCACTTCACGGGGTCGGACCCCTTCACAGCTCCCCCCTGTCGAGAGCACCCACCTCGGTGTGGGTCACTCAGCTTAGGGCCCAACCAGAAGCTGGGATCCGCTCAAGGGCAGGCTAGGAAATGACCCTGAGACTGACTTTGAGAATGCAGCACAAGGACCAGGGATGCCTTGGATGAAAGCAGATTTACTGTGCCTTCCTTGACCAGATAAATTGCTAGGGCAGAAAGAGACGGGAGAGGCCTATTTGGTCGTTTGCCTTAATGGACAGAGCACTTTAAATTCACAGTCTGGAATAGTTTATCAAACATTCTGAAGGTCATGTGACTACCTGAATGCCCCCTTCTTCAAGAAAAAAAAAAAGAGAGAGAGAAAAGGGAAAAAAAGCATTCAACAGCCATCAGCCATCAGTTGACTGGCCCAGGAGCTGGCCTTCTTTCCTGCTACTGCGCGCCCTCCTCATTAAATATAATAAGCTCACCCTGATATCTCTGTTCCAAGTGCCTTTTTCCGGATATAGATCGAAATATTTCAACCCATGACAGTCCACATTTTCCTTTCACATTATTGTTAGCGACCATGTCTGGAAGGTCTGCTCTTCTCCTTGAGGTAGCAAGAGAAAGATATTTGTCAATCTTTATTGACAGCTGGGTCATTGCACTTACCACAAAGGAGCTGCTGAGGACTCTGCAGCGTCAGTTTCTGCACCCCACCCCGGGGCCCCTTGGGTGTCTGAGCTTAGGGAACATGGCAGTCCCGATCCTTTCCCACCTGTGGTCCAAGTTGCTGCATCCTGAAGTAAGCACGAGGGCCAGTAACAGCAAGCATTTGTAGAGCATCAACTGGGTTCACAACTTTGGCCCGAGAGGAGTTCAGAAGATGCCTAAGCATGTTGCTGTGAACCGGTAATAGTTATCAGGTGATTTGTTCCCTGGCAGCCAGACCCCCGGGCAGATAATACAAAGCCCGAAATGGAATGAATTAGGGAATGGAGCCATGGGGACCTTGTTGAGGTCAACTGCTAGATTAAGCTGGAGACAGTCCAGGGCCATGGCCTTTATACAGGAGAACATTAGACAGGAGGGCTTTCATTCAAAAGCATCGCCTCCTCCTTCCCCAGAGGAGAGGAATAAGATCGTGAATGCAAAACAGTTGTCAATCGGAGTGTTTATGAGCAAGAGTCTCGGGGCATATTTTAAAGTAGAAGGAAATCTAGCCTCAAACCAAAATTTTTAAACAAAGTACCCAAAGCTGCATTAGCTTAAAGTTAAATTCAGTGAGGAGATTTTGTCCATTAACAAAGGCCTCCATCATATGCTCCTTCAAAACTAAAAGCCTAAGTCTTTTATAGACAGAAAGATGACCCCTGATAAAAATGGACTGGGCTAATTGCAAAAATGTTTCCAGGCAGACGCAGCCTTGAGAGCCTCCCGCAAACCACCACGTTTCTGGCTGCAATTCTCATGAAAGATTGAACGGCTTTACACACGGCCTGTTTACTCAGAAGAAAATTGGAGAGTGGGGCCTTTACCAGCTATCTAGCTGCACTCTGAGATAAAGGCGCAGCCCTCCTGATTGATCGTATGTGCTTCCCGCTTAGGGAGGAAGCCGGGCATCGTTGCAGCTGCCCAGATAGGGCTTCAGAAATCAGTAAGTCTGGGCAGCAAAAAGAAAAGGAAATCATTCTTGGAAGATAGCCTCTCTCTGGCTAATCCCAGTTTCTAATTTGAACAACCTAATCTCACCCTGGGGAACTCCACATTCAAGATAAGACAGCAGGCGTGTGATGCAGTGAGCCGTCTGCGAGCCCGGAAGCCTCCCTCGGAAAGCAGCCCGAGGTGGCCAGGCACGGCGTGGAGAACCTTCTGTCTTTAGAGCAACAGTTTTAATAGCCACAAAATTTAAACCTGTGGGAATAACTTGGATTCCCAGTCCAGGTTCAAAAATGTCACCTTGCGCTAGGGGAGCTTGGCTGGATCCTCTCAGATTGCACTGGGTATTGTTCTAGAAGCTCTCATTCTGGCCTGGGTCAGCTCTGCATTGGGCCCAAAGTCCCAGCCCCTCCAGAATAGGAAGCCGTGAACCAGATGGAATTGGAAAGAAAACCCAACTCTTCATCTTGCTTTATGCGTCCAGGATTTGATTTTTGTACTTTCAATGTAAAAAAATAATCTTTTCTAACATTTTTTTGTCAGTAGAGCTTGATCTTAATTTTTCCTGCCAAGGTATTACCGGTGAGGCAAGGATATGTTGGGTGCACAATTGTCCAGCACCGTCCACGCCCTCCCACCCACACACATGAGGAGGACGGGGCACCATGCTGGGCGGCAGGATGAAGGTCGCACCCAGGCCCATCTGCGGCAAGTCAGAGTGGGGAGAGAGGCTGCTCTCTGGGGAAGGGAAATCACCACCCTCACCTCACTGTAATATTTGCCTTGATGTTAAGAAGCCCTGGGATTCTGGGGTGGCCCCTACATTCTCCTATCCAGAGAGGTTCTGGATTTTTTAATTCGTTTTTACCAGGAGGTTACGCTGACCCTTACCTTCCCTGCCCCAAGAGTAAAGTGAACCCTCGGAATAACATACAGGGTATTTTCAATCCATAGTTTGCCTTTAATGGGCATTTGTTGTATGTATTTATTAATAATAATAGTTACCATATATTGAGCATATACAGTGTACCTGGAGCTATGATTTAGGTGCCATTTCCATGCCCAAGTTCTGAGGTTACCCAGCTAGTAAGTGGCTATTTGTTGCTTGGAGAGCCCATGAGCCTCTTATACTGAATTCAACTTTAATTCTCCAAAGTGAGCATGGAAGTTGGCCTGGATCTGACATGCTCTGGGGCCGTTTTCTGTATATAACTTCCTTCCATATTTGTAATTTCAAGGTTAATACAAGAGCAGACTTGGTACTGAGGTTTCTGGACTATGTTGCCGTGGGTGTTGGTTTGCTTTGCAAATAAAGTGCCTGTGATCATTTGAGCAAAGCAATTATAAAGATTTTTCCTACGGTAGAAAGTGTGGCTTTATAATGCCCAAAGGAACCATCTCCTTTAAAAGTCTTAGTGGGACTAAATGCACATGCACAGGCCTTCACTGACAGATAAAGTCTCCTTCCTGAATTCAACCTCAGTGTAGCTTTGGGTATTTCGCTGGAGCTCTGGTTTAGGGCCTAAAAGTGAACCTGCTCATGTGTGTTACTAAGCTTTATACTCACTCTTGGCAAGGACAAGTGTTTTGCATTCAGCACCTTCCTGCCTGCTGTGGAGCAGGAGCCCTGAACCCCGCCGCCCCCCAGCACCCTTCCTTATTTCTCTAACTCCAAAACCTGTTCGCGTACTCTCCACATGGCTGAGCTATTTTATCTGCCAGAGAAAGGCTCCCAAGTAATGCTCCGTTGACCTTCCAAAAGTGTTCCGGAACCAGTGCCATCGCCTCTGAGTGAGCCAGCACCGAGGAAGCCACACACCAAGCCCTGGGACCTCGATGGGGCAGGGAGAGGGACAGACATCCTTGAGTCGCCATGGGACACCCTGGCTGTGCAGGCCCTGCCAGAAAGATGTTCTGGAAGATAAGCACACCATTTCTTTGGGTTTGGGGGAGTCCAGCAAAGCAGTCAGCCTTCTACGACCACACCTGCTCTCCGAGGCCCCAAAGAAGTGAGCCATTTCAGATGGCCCTTCGCCTCCCAGGAAAGCGCTCTTGTCACACAGGGAGCATCATAGTTATGCACAAAGACTGTCTGATAATTTGATTTAAAAAAAAAAACTCATCTCCATGAGCCATAGAAAGCTACTTCCTTTCACAACCTACAGCCATCCAGATAACCTTCCGTGTTCACGGCCACTTGGCTGTGTGTCCCACGGACAGAGCTGATTCTCCAATCCCACAGTGGCCTGCAGCAGGAGCATAATTCCTCCGCACTGTGGCTCGCCCCCTCTCTGCCCTCAGAGTGACGTAACAACCTGTTTGCTTGCCTTTCCCTTCCAGATTTCAAATCCAACTTCAGAGCTGCTCCCATCAGATCCGTGGATGTCTACAACATCATGTGCAACGCGGCAGGCATCGCCCCCCTGCCCAACAACGGCTCCTGGTCCAGAGTGGTGTGCATGCTGGAGGGCCGGGCCGGCCCGGTTCCATCTGCCCTACCGAGCAGCTGTGCGCTGGCCGTGACCCTCCTCTTACTGTTTGCATAGCTGCTCCTACTGTTGCCCCCCAACACTCAGCCAAGTGTGCCTCCGTGGCGGAATGGCTTTCATTGCCCATGTGAATAATAGCTTCATTAACACAATCAAGGCCACAAAAATTGTAAATACATTATTCTTGGATGATTCTGTATATAAAAGTCCTTACTTCTTGAAAAAACAAACCAACTATTTTTGCTGGAGGTAGGGAAAATCCTAGCTTTTCATTTGTTCAACTGTGTGTCATTTTCTCCTTTCTTTAATTACTCGGATGAACCGTCCGAGCAGGGCCTGCCCCTGGAGCAAACAGACTTTGAGTGGCTCTTGTGTGGAATCCTGGACCCCTCTCTGTCCCACCTTGCACAGAACAGGCCCTTGTCTGTGCCGTCCCCACACCAAGGAGCCCTCCTTGGAGTTATAGCTACAATCCTGTATGGCTCTATCCATCTTGGAAAGAGGTCCACATGAAAGCAATAGCTGCCACCTGTTACTGACCCAGCTCATGGGGTTTTTCATCTCATACAATGTCCCAGAAAGGGGCTCAGCAGTCACTCAAAATCAGTAATGACTGGAGAACTCGAAGAGCTAGGTAAAAGACAAGGGCTCCCTCCCAAAGACTTGAGTGCACAGACATTTCTCCCTTGCCTGGAGGAGTGGAGCAGCTTGCCATACATACAGAAGATAAGTAGCTTGCACATAGCGGGCCCGGCAGGTTGTGGATGGAGGGCCTGCCTGCCCAGCTGCCTGAGTAAAGGCTTCCTCAGAGGCTGTTACCCGTTGGGGCCCCATACAGAGTGTAGTCTAGAGCAACATCAGACATATCACTACAGGCCGGGGAAGGGCTGTCCTGCTGATGAGAGCATGGACATCTTTGCAGAAATCTCAGTCCTCTGCTTGGGACGGGGATGCACTAAGCATGGGTTTTATGCACTAGTAGTCCTGGAGCAATGCTCGCCTAGCAAGAACAACAATAAAGTGAATCCTCGAGTGACCCAGAAGTCCAAGGGAAATGGTGGGGGGTGGAGGATGGAGACAACACGATGGAGCTGAATCCCAGTCACTAACCAATTAGCTGTTTGATTAGGAAAGAGTTTGGTCAGCGTGCTGTCTCCGAGACCTAAGTTCTTTAGAAACTCCCAGGAAGAGACACTGAGCTTGAGTTGACATGTTTTGAGTTTAGTCATCTGAGCTTGCTGTAGGAAATCTTGTAAAACAAGGGATAACGGCATGTCTAAATGATCGAGTTACAAACACGTATCACTCATTAACAGTGAGTTTGCGCTAAAGGAGGTGCATCTGCAAAGGAGACTTTATCAGGAAGACAGCCCAGCAGGCCTCGTCAGGATGACAAAGCTCTTGCACAGAGTTTACCTTAAAGATGATTGTCAGTGCTCACCCTGATTCAGGAAGGCCGGGAGCCGCCTCTGTGCCTGGAATCAGGAGAGCAAAGGATCAGTGCTCAAAAAAACGAAATTTACCTTCACAAAAGATTTCTAAGGATTTATGTAATGTGATTTAAAAGAGCCAGCAAACCACCAGATCAGTTGGAAGGAAGGTAAATGAGTGTTACCTGGCTGAAAGCAACACCGGTAGTGGTTGCTAGAACAGGCATCTATTGCTCAAAGTCTCCTTCCTTCTCCAAGGACAGTGTTCAATGAATTCAGTAGAGCCCACATTCCTCGCCCATGAAGGGAGAACCCCTAAAGACACCCCAGTGATTCAGTTAAAGGCAGATCACCAAAATCAAGAGGGACCCAAACACGGTCACAGTCTCACAGGTTCTCCTGCTCTGTCTGCCGTTTTTTCCCCCCACTCATCCTTCAGTCACATAATACAATTTTAGATACTTGTCTGACACAGCCCAGTTGCTCAGTAAATAATCATGCATTCATGAATTAGATGAGACACTTTTGGCATCATGAATAGTGGTAAATAATAAAGAAAATTTAGACACTGAATGGAGAAAAACCCTTTTCCTAAAATAATGTATACATTTTAGTGGATTAAGTATTTGGCTACATTTTTTTTCCTTTGATTTTTGTTCTAAAGCCAACTTTTTTTTTTCCCTGGAGAATTCTGCTTTCTCTAAATGCATTTTGTTCCATCAGAGTAGAATCTGAATATATATATAGACACCTTTTCTCCTGGATTATTTTACTACTTTATTGCTAATTCCAGGAGGAAAATAACTGAATTGGACCTGCAAATACTGAAGATAAATGAAAGGAATAATCCTAAATTAAAGTTGAGATGAATGGCTACTTTCCCTGCCCATATGCCTAACCTCCAGAACCCAATTCAATTAAGTTCTGAAGACCTCAGCATAAATTAGTGCAGGCCCAGGGAATTCTTTCTAGCCTCTAAGAGTCCTGAATTATAAAGTCCCAACTCTCTTTCCTTTTAAAGGGACCTTGGAAGCCCACATTAGATCTGAGTACAAATACAGTAGTTTGCATACTTCCTGGCATCATCTGACCCACTTACAGAGATGCAGCAGGTTCTGAAGGTCTGCGGTGGGACCTCAGCAACACTTTTACATGACACTGGCCTGAGGTCTGAGTTCTGCTCTGAAAAGAGACAGGTTCTGAACTGACCTTGGTGGACCCTAGTGTCCTGACAGCAATTTTGTGATCTGCCCATTTCTCCAGGGGGCAGCAGGCTGGCATGGGCTCCTGCCCCCTGCTGAGCCACGCTCTCAACCCTCCATAAACCAAAGCAGGCCTGTAACCCCCAGTGACGGACAGAGGCACCTACAAAGACCACACCCTTCCCTTGTGGGTCTAAGATTCCCACCCAAACTCATTGCTCAAGATACATAGGTTGTGCTGCCAGACAAACTCATTGTTCAAGACACATAGGTATTTTATGAATTTCCTAAGGAAGTGTTTTGCATTTCTGTAAATTTCAAGTCCACATGTGATTGCACTTAATCTTTTTAAGCAATTTGTGACAGACCGAAGTCAGCTCTTGTGAAGTACTTGCTAGAAGAAAGGGAGGTGGTAATCTTAGCAGACTGGTTATAAAACATATGAAACTTGGTCTCAGGTATATGCTGTGGAAAATATGGATATCTGTTGCTTCAAAATCGCAAAATAGCACCTAGTGCAGTGCCTCAAATATTTAATAAATGTCCTACAAATCTATGTTGCATAAAAAAGGAATAAATACCATTAAGAAGACTTGCTTACCCCTCTGATGGTCTTTTTGTAGTTCCTCAAATTAAATGAACTTGTCATTTTTGGCTTGCTGCTTTTTCTTATCACCCAACTGATAATATATTTCATTTCATGGGCTAAATGTATTCCACTGAAGGCTTATAAACTTGATGGATGGATGGAAGGAAGGAAGGAAAGAAGGAGATTAGATTTTAAGCATGCTAAACATATTTACTCTTTTAAAAATAACAGCTTTATCAAGATTTAATTCACATAGCATACAATTCATCCATTTGAAATGTACAGTTCAATGGCTTTAGGACAGTCATAGAGATGTGCCACCATCCCCAAATCAATTTTAGAGCATTTTTATCACCCCCAGAAGAAACTCCATACCCATTAGTACACCAGCAGTTACTCCCCATGTCCACCCACCGCCATCCCCAGGCAACCACTGAACTAGACCCTGTCTCTACAGATTTGCCTGTTTAGGATATTTCATAAAAATGGAATAACACAATATGATGTCTTCTAGGACTGGCTTCTTTCATTCAGCCTAACGTTTTCAAGGTTTTAGCTTGAATCAGTTATTCATTCTTTTTGTTGCCAAATAATATTCCATTATATGGACATTTCGCATTTTATTTATCCATTCATTAGTTGACAGACATTTGTTTTTCCCGCTTTTTGGATATTATGAAGAACGCTGCTCTGAGCATTCATGTATGAGTTTTGTGGTCATAGTTTTTCAGCTCTCTTGGAAATATACCTGAAGCGGAAATGGTAACTCTAGGTTAAACTTTGGAGGAACTGCCGGGTTTTTCTAAACTGGCTGCACCATTTTGCATTCCCGCGGGCTGTGTATGAGGGTTAGGTTTCTCCACACCCTGATCAACACTTGTTATTATCGTTTTTAGCATAGCCCTCCTGTTGGAGCTGATGTGATAGCTCACTGCGATTTTGATTTTGCAATTTCCTAATGATAAATGACGTTGAACCGTTTCTTATATGTTTATTGGCCATTTGTCTGTCTCTGTTAAAGAAATGTCTAATTCAAACCCTTGGCCCATTTTTCAAAATTGGGTTTTTGCCTTTTTATTATTGAGTGGTAAGACATCTTTTTGTATTCATGATACAACTCCCTTATCAGGTATATAATTTGCAGACACTTTTCCCCCTATTCTATGCATTTTCTTTTGACTTTTTTGATGGCATCCTTTGTGGCACAAAAGTTTTTAATTTTGATGAAGTCCAATTTATCTGTTTTTTTCTCTTATCAGTCATGCTTTTTGCATTCTATCTAAGAAGGCTTTACCTAACCCAAGATCATGAAGATTTACTTCTCTCACTTCTCCTAAGAGTGTTGCAGTTTTAACTCTTACTTTTAGGCCTCTGATCCATTCCAGGGAAGCTTCTGGGTAGGCTGTGAGGAAGTGATACTTCATTCTTTTGCATGTGGATATCTGGTTTTCCCAAAACTGTTTGGTACAAAGGATATTTAATTCATAGACAAATGTTAAAATGATTCTATTGAACATAAACCCCTTTTTAAAAAAGGTAATAATCACTCCAGAAATATATTGCCCATGACCAGGTCAGGGCCCCTGGCTATCCACTCTCTCTATATACTAGCCGCTCACAAATGCCCTGTGCTGCTCTCTCATACACTGATCAAAATTCCAATCAATAATAATTAAAGTTACTGTTTAATATTGTCTGTTTTTCTCACTGGGAGTTCCATTGAGAAAGGAAGTGACAGTGTCTTATTCGCCTTTCAAAATGTCTGGGTTGCATTTTATTGCATTTTCTTCCCATTTTTATAACCATACACGTACACACACATTTTTAAAATTCCTGCTTCACCATTTAATCTCATGTCTGGCCTTCGTAGCTAACCCCATTTTCCCTAATCACTTCACTGGTTTCCTTTTAGCCCTGAGAAATGTTGTGCCTCACAACTGCCTTTATTTCTATCTCCTTGAATTCATACATATCCTATTTTGCATGAGTTTGTTTTGCATGTTAAATATGGAAGCAATTACATTCTTCTTCCCTATCTCATCAGATAATAGTTTCCTTGGAAGCAGAGAGCTTTCTTGACTGTCTCCCTCCCTCCCCCCCTCCTTCTCTTCCTTCCTTCCATCTCTCTCTTTCTCCCTCTTTCTTTTTTTCATGTTGGGATTTGAGGGGACCCTAATAACTGCCATCCTAGCTTCCCAACTCATTTTCTAAGCAACTGAAGTAGACCCAGGGCGTGGTGGATGGACAGTGAAAGGTCACCTCTGTTACGGCAAAGCTGGTAGTTCCGCGGACGTGCGGTTTATGATGCTGCACCTCTGGACTACAGCGAGGTGCCCACCGAGGGCCTGTCCCTGTAAGTGCTCTGCAGCGACATGGAGGGAAGCAAATGGCCAGAAGGCACGAAGACTAAGGTGTGGCAGTTCTGGAGCTAATTCCCCCAAAGTCGAAGGCCTGCTGGGGCGGTTCTCTGTGGCGCCTGGCATCCTCCCTGGGCCGGGACAAGGGGCACCCAGGTGATGCCCAGGGTGCGGAACGGCCTGGCCCGCAGTGAGACCACACAGGGCTGTCTGTCCTCTGGTCCCTGGGAAGGCGCTCCGCGCTGTGCCCTCCTGTCAGACCACCAACCTGCTCCCGCCCTGGGCTCCCGGCTGGGCTCAGATTCCGGGCACTCCGAAGTGCGCTTCACAGTTTGCCAGAAGCCCTTGTAGATAAGGCATAATTCTAGGAAAAAATGTTCTCCCAATCACGAGTCTTCGTTTAACTGCTGGCAAAAGTATGATTAATTTTCTTTCTTCCTAAAAAGCTTTCTAGGCGTGTAAGTGCCAACAGAGTTTGTTAGACTCTTGGCAAGTTTAAAACACAGTCAGTTTTATTTACTCAGTGCGGAGTCCAGGCGTGCCCCTTCGCCTCTGCATATCCAGGTCCTGGGTGGGGGGCAAGCACGTGCTGACTATATCATGCAGTTGCCTGAAGTTCTGCAGCTGCCTTGGGCACAGCCTGTCCAACGTGGAATGAGTCCCTCCAGAGACGGTGCACTTTGCTGGAGACAGAAGAATGGCACACGCCACATCCTTTGTTGTTATATGGACTGAATTGTTCCCCAAAAAAGACAGTCCAAGTCCCAGTGCCCAGGTGCCTATGCTGTGCCCTCATTTGGAATAAAGTGTTTGCCGATGTAATCAAGCCTAGAGGAGGTCTTGCTGGGCTAGCGTGCACCCTGCTGCAATGACTCACATCCTTACAAGAAGAGGGCAAGTTAGACCCGGGGAAGGCCACACAGCCCTGGGGCAGAGGCTGGAATGATGCATCTGTAAGCCCAGGCACACTGGACTGCTGGCAACTAGCAGTAGCTGGAAGAGGCGAGGAAGGACCCTCCCCTAGAGCCTTCGGGGGAGCCTGGCCCTGCTGACACCTTGATCTCAGACTTCCAGCCTCCAGACCTGGGAGAGATGAGATTTCTGTTGTTTTACCCAGTGTGTGGCAACCTGCTACAGCAGCCACAGGCAACCAATACACCCTACAAATGGCTCTGGGAGTCAGTCTGGCTCAGCCAAGGTTTCCGGACCTCCTTCTTCATATCAGGTACTGTGCTCTGTTCTGGGAATACACAGAAGGAAAAATACTGTCCTCATCGAAACTAGAAGGTAGTCATTTCATGTCTATCATTCTTGAGCAGCACTGGAGTCTCTTTTCTGTGGACCAACATGTTCTGGTTGTTCCAGGCAAGGCACAGAGAGAGTTTCAGAGCAAATGGGAGCAGTACAGTGAAGGGGGGTGTCGGCTCCAGAGCAGAGGAGCTGGGGACAGGGAGCTCCCCTGCCTGTGCCCCGGACGCCCGCTTGGGAATCCATCACCCACGTTGAGATCTTGCTCTGGGCCATTGGATGCCCCTGTCCAGTATGCTCTTCACGTTACCTATGTAATTATCTGTCAGCAAAAGTAAGGACAGTCCTGTTACTCACTTGTCTGAAAACCACACCTGTCACTCTCATTCCTATAGAATTAAACCCCAGATTCTGCTTCTGACCAATTTCTGTGGTCGGACATCCCCGCCCCCCCCTTCAGATCCCCAGGTGAGCCCTGGGAAGAGCCATTTTTACTTCTTACATTGACTGTATGTCTGGCATGCCCCTTCCCACTGTCTGTCTAGCAAACTTTTATTGATCCTTCATAGCCTAGCTTCTTGCTGAAGCCTTCATGCTTTCATATTCTTCCATAATCATCTGCTTCGTTTATCACAAAGTAAGTCACATCACATTGTTTTCTGGCATTCCCCAGCTTGGCTGTGGGCCAAGCAGAACGCTGCGGTTGTGTCTTCTCATTTTTGGAGTCTTCAAACAGTGAGGTCTGCCACAGAACAGCTGGTAATGGTCTGGTGAATAAAGGAATGAATTATTGAATGAATGAATGAATGAATGAGTGACGTGAAAAAGTTAGGACACTGTGGTCAGAAAATCCTGTGAGTTTGAAGAGAGTTTCTCGAGCAGCGATGGGGTAGAAAAGCCAGACGCAGGGCACGTTCTGTAGAAGGCAGCAGGTTTGACAAATGACTAGCTGGTGACATGGAATCCAGAGGGCAGGAGTTCCTTTTTCAGCATTTCAGCAGGCCCCCTCTTTAGCCATGAATGAGAGGAAGTGGAACAGATGGGGAGAAAGGAAGGAAAGATAAATTAGCTCTGTCTTCACCATGTTTAATTTGACTTTTCAACAAGACTCTAACACAAGCTTGTGCTGTCATTTCCCTACAGCTTGGAAGAGACAACAGAAGGGAATTCGGAATCTTGGACGCTCAAGACATAACATACGGAGGAGGAGGAAGAATCCCAATCACCATCTCCTTCCCTTCCATGTCTTCTGAGTCTGATATGCCTTTGCTACTAAGAAATGGGGGGTGGGGGGCAGGGGAGAAGAGCTTTCTGGGGGGAAAGGGGTGTTTAAGAATTCCCTTCCTGGGATAGCCTGGCTCACACCTCTCCTCTCTCCCTGCCCCTGCTGCTCAGGGAAGTCCGGCCTTAGGGTGGTGTCAGGGGACAGGCAAGAGGTGGACTTCCACCAGATCCCAAAAGGAGGTGGTGCTCAGAGACCCCTTCCCTCCCACAGTTGGTGACAAGGGCCAGAGGGACAGGGCAGGAAAAAGCAGACAGGGAAGCACCCTGCTGCTCTTGGACTAAACCAGCAGAAGGGATGCTGGAAGCTCCCTGTAGCCCAGACCACAGTCCATTTCAACAAAGGTGGATTTGGGCTCAAAGCCCCAGTGAGTAATACCTATTATTTCCCTGGACAATCTCTGGGAATCTGTGTGATGTGGGAGACGCCTCGTGGCGGATTTGGGCTGCTCTCTGCATCTGAAACCCTAAAGCACCTGCCTGGTGCCTGGTCTTACGAAATGCATTTTACACACAGTGTCTTTTGTTTATTGCAGGCAACTGAGGAGCCTGGAGATTAGATGACTTGCCCAGGGTCACACAGCTAGGACAGAGCTCCAGTCAGTGTGACTCTGGGTGGGAGGAGACGCACACAGCACTGGTCACCCTGCCCGGCCCTGCCCATCTCCATCCGTACTAAATACATGCAGACAAAGCACGCTGGCTCTGCAAACGGCTTCAGACATTCCCTTAGGACATCCCCCAACCCCACCAAACTGACACCCCATGATCCTCCCACAATATTCTTGGAGAGGCCACTGCTCACCCCAAAGCATCCATCACGTGGCCTCTATAAGCTCCAATGTTTTCCTAGTTCACTGTGCAATAACTTTAACCAGTTAAAGCCTTTAACAGAGAGCAGTGTTTAGCAAACTTGGCTGTTCAGAATTAGCTGAGGAAAACTATTTAAAAGTATTGATACCCAGACCCCAACCCTGGAGACTCTGACCCAAATAGTCTGGAGATCCAAGTGTTGATATATTTATTTTAAATCTCCCCAGGTGATTCTCATGTCCAACCAGGAATGACCAACACCCAAGAGGGAGAAAGAAATTAATAAAAGAAGAAAAATATTAGTAGAACGTAGAGACCCTTTTGAGAATCCTAAGGGAACATGCATGATTTCCATGAGTTTGACATCAGAGTTGGTCTAGATTAGGAAATTCATTGTATTCTGCTGTTTTGTAGAAACTACATCTCAGTCAGTGTGCTGGAAGTCACTAGTATATTTTAATAAAGACCAAAGTAATACAGTCAGCTAGAAAATGGCTTCTGTTTGGGAACAGACCGCACGGAAGACGAACACTGTCCCGGCGGTGCACCGCGCATTACGTAGAGCCCTCCCACCGACTGTTTGCAACTAGTCCTGACCAGAACTATCCACCAGCCAAACAGGAAGCAACCTCATCAGCCGAGCTGGAACAAAATATTTGGGAGAGGATAGCCAGAAAAGCAGCAGGCCCCGTTCTGGGCCCCGAGATAGGAAGTTTTGTGGAGGATGCAATTTAATTTGTCTTTGGGGGCAGTTGTCTCACCTGGTTTACTCATCAGCATGAACTAAGAAAATCAAATCTAACAATTAAATTAACACTGACTATAGTAAGTGCAGCAGGACCAGACAATTTAACATTGTGAGAGTTACTCAGAATCAAAATGTACTAGGCAAATACTCTGTGAAGGGATTTTGCATCTCAAAAGGTCAGACCCACTACTTTCTAGGGAAAGGCCATCCCATGAGTGGTCTCGGGCACCAGCTCAGTACCATATGCATAAAGGTGCTGCCTTTGCCAGGGGTCCCGAGAGGCCAGGAATGGCCGGCAGAGCCCTGGAGCACACAGCTGAGAGGCTTTGAAGGTCACTCTTAACCTGCCTGCACTGTGGGCGACAGTGACATCCTCTACTTCCCCCCTGTAAACGTGGAACGGCCTTACCCCAGCAAAGGCCACTGCCGCAATCAAGAGTAATGACGAAATGTTAGTCACCAAACCGTCAGGCTGGCTGGGTGGTGGGCGGGGGGAAGGCGAACTTTTGAAGCTCAAGAACAATGACAGCAACCACCAAAGGAAGCACAAACATGTCTGACATCTGTGTGCCACAAGCTAAGCAAAATGAAGTTAAGGTGATTTCCAAACAACCAAAGAACACACTGAGGAGAATCACAGTAAGTCGGATAAATGGCAAAACTCCCTGTTCTTAAAAAAAAAAAAACCATCAGAATCAATAAGAACACCCCAAAGACCTCAATAAATAAATGGGCAAAGTGTACAGACGACTACTTACCAATGTTTAATAAACAGATGAAATAATTACATGACCTCAGGAGTCATCAAAATTGTAAATAAGTAAGATGCTATTTTTCTCTATCAAATTGGCAAAGGTGTTCCAATAGTTGCATCAGGGAACCATCAGGAGCTCTGTGTGGATGTGCCCCGTCTGCCCAGCAGTGACCCCCACAACTTCGGTGCACCCTTCTGAGGACAGCTCAACCCTCTGTGTAAGAACCTTGGTAAACAGACATATCCTTTAACCCAGCATGGCTTCATTCATGTCTTTTCAAATTATTAACAAAGTAATCAAGCACGTACATGTTTAAAAAATCAAACAGCCCTACAGGGATTAGAATGAAAGCAACAAGCCCACATTCTGTTCTTTTCAGTCCTCTGTGCTTGATTCCAGGCTTCCAGTCCTGGGCTTGATCTTTCAGCAGGTTTTCTTCCTGTGATATTTATGTCCATATTCTGTCCATAGCTGTTATGCTTATGCCACTAGTTCTTACATTTTCAGACAATATCCACCCGATTATCATACCCACTGCACCTCTCTTTTCCTCTCCCTGTGATAATTTCATAAGTTTTAGTCAGTGATCAGAATATTATTATGTCAGTGTTGTTCACTTTGCTCTAATATCTCCTCTCTCAACAGCCATGTGTTTTTCCCGACTTAACAATTGTTTTGTTTTCCTCACTTGCACAGTTTTCTACACATTGATCCTTAATTATTTTCCTGTGCTTTTTTTGTCTGTCATATATGAGTATGAGCAGCCACTTCTGTGATAACGCAGTATCTGTTTTATCAAAAAACTTCACATCCTGTAAAGCTGGGCGCTACATCTCCTACGGCTGGTGGAACAAAGTAAGATGCACATCTGTGATCAGAACAGTACCAAAAGCAATCATTGGTACCCTCAGCGATCGCCCAGATGATCCAGGTGGGTAGCTCGGTATGGCTGGAGGCTGCTTCAGGGAAATGAAAAAAAAAAAAAAAGGTGGCTTATGGGTGGGCACTGGGACAATACAGGGGGCAGTCGAGTTCTACGCACAGGATGAAGTGCAGCGTGCCTAAACCAAGAGCTGTGCAGGGCTGGGGATGTGCTCCCACCCAGGCTCTAATGCTCATTTTATGTTTTCTGAGAGTTAAGAAGATTTCTGGGAAGGTGATGATAGCAGCAGACACAGTTCAGGTTTTTTCAAAATCTCTGTGAGCCTCCACTTCAACAGGCAGAACAACCAGGCAGCATAATCAGCAACTCATGGGCAACATTTACAATGCAACTAGGTGACAAAGTACCGCCAAGAACCCAAGACTCAAGCAGATGGGGACGAACTGCCAATATCTCTAAGGCCTGTGTTTGTGTCCACATCTGTGAGAGAGGAAGCAGACAGAAGCAGGGGCATCTGATGGACCTACAGGACAAGGGATTCTCAAAATAATCATTGCATGTTCACTGGAAAACACTGAAAAGTGTGTGATGTTAACAGCTGACACGGAGCAGCCAATCCCACCAAAAGTGGGTGCAAGGGGCCCACAGCAATGTCTGAAGGGCTGGGGCCCTCTGTCCACCAGGAACCCCTGAAACGCACCAGCCATGCTCAGGTCTAGGACAAGGCCCCACATTGAGCAGACTCTGCTGCAAGTTAAACTCCAGCAAGACCGGCAAGACACATGAAGGGAAGAGAAGGTCCAGGTAAGCACGAGACCGAGAAGAGGCAGGAATTCTAGGAGAGCCAGCCACCACGTTTCTGAGCATTACGTGAAAACAACAGAAGGCGATACTATATGAAATTAGACTAGCCTGAACTCCTAAACTCCTTCTACAGTTTAGAAAACCTAATTTCATATAAAAATGTG